GCAGCTTGCTATACGTTCTCTTTAATATTTCTTAATCGAGAGTTAAAGCAATGACACCTTACATTACTCATGTATAGTTATGTTCAGATATGTTTAGGTGTAAGGTTGTAAGGTATCATCTGCTAAAAAGAAAAGAAGCGCGACCAGACGACCACACCGCTAAGCAGCGCCAAACGAAGAGCAGCAGTTATGAGGGGGGAGAGGAAGGGGGCGACCGCAAAGCGCTGATCTGTTGCGTGCCCCCTCTCGCCCGTTCCCCGCCCCCCGCCGCTCCGGCGCCTCGACCGCCGCCCCCGGGCTGGTTCCGTTCCGCCGTCCATTTAATATTTATACCTCACCGGGATTAACATTGCATCGGCGCGCTAAGCAGACCGGCGGCCACGCTCTCTTTCCCTCCCAGCCGCACCACGGCTGCTGCTGCTGCTGCTGCATAACAACCCCCTCCCTCCTCCTTCTCCTCCTTTAGTCTTAGAAGGCAATTCATCCCGCTTTAGTCGCGCGGCAGCGTGGCGGGGCGCGGCACGGCGCACGGGGCGAGAAATAAGCAGCTCAACCTCCTTCTCCTCCGTCCTTCCCGAAGCCCGATCGCGATCACACCTTAGCCACCCCTGCCCTACCCTACCCTGCTCAGCGCCTCCTTCCTTATTTCGCCCTGCTTCGCCCTGCTCTGCTGCTGCTGTGATGCCGCTATCCTTGTTTGGCCTGCTTTCCCTTGCGCGCGGCGAAAAGCAGTAAATTCCAAGGCGGCTGTAATTGGCGCGGCAGAGGAGTCGGGGCGGCGCCAGGATATTTAGATATATTTGCGCAGCCGACCGGGACCGGGACCGGGCGGGGGCCAACTCTGCCCTGCCTGCCTCTGCCCTTGCTGTAGGAGGATTACACCACCGGCGAGTCGTCGGGCTGGTTAGAGGAGGCGTGGCATGGCGTGGCGTGGCGTGGCGGGCAGAGCGCGTTACCCGGGATAACAGAGCACGCCGGCGTTCAGCGTTGCCCGGCCGGCCCTGCCAGCCTGCCTCGCGCATCAAAATTGATGTAGCGGAGGAATTCCCTGCCGCTCCCCGCACCGCCCCGTCCCGTCCCACCACACTCGCAGGGCCAGCCGACCCCCCTTCCCCC